CCCCAAAACCCCAAAACCCCAAAACCCCTTACTTAAAAAATGTTTGCTTTTACTTAATTAGAATAAACGATGTAGATATATTATAAATCAAGATTAAATATGATAAAATTTCAGCTAAATCTACAAAAAGAGAGAGAGATGAATGATAAATAAACTTGTGTTATGGAAAATGGATCTGGATTCGTCAAGGCCGGTTTCTCAGGAGAAGATGCCCCAAGAACTACCTTCCCTTCAATTATTGGTAGACCCAAAAACTCCAGTGCTTCGAAGGAAGTCGATTCAGACAATGAATATATTGGTGATGAGGCTAATTAAAAGAGAGGAGTCTTAAAGATTTGCTACCCCATCGAATATGGCATAGTCAAGGATTGGGATGATATGGAAAAGATCTGGAATCATGCATATTAGGTTGAGCTTAGAGTCTCTCCAGACGAGCATCCAGTTCTCTTGACTGAGGCACCACTCAACCCAAAGATTAATAGAGAGAAGATGACTCAAATCATGTTCGAAACATTCAATGTACCTGCTCTTTATGTTGCCATTCAAGCTGTTCTCTCTCTCTACTCTGCTGGTAGAACCACTGGAATTATTTGCTAGTCTGGCGATAGTGCTACCCACACTGTCCCCATCTATGAGGGTTTCTCTATTCCTCATGCCATCCAAAGAACTTAAATTGCCGGTAGAGATCTCACCATATTAATGGCTAAGCTCCTTACTGAGAGAAGTTATGTCTTCACTTCTTCTGCTGAGATGGAAATCGTTAGAGACATCAAAGAAAAGTTATGCTTTGTTGCTTTGGATTACGAGTCTGCTCTTAAGCAATCTCATGATAGCGCCCAATTCGAGAAGAACTACGAACTCCCAGATGGTAAAGTCATTACTATTGGCTACGAGAGATTCAGATGCCCTGAATGCTTGTTCAAGCCACTCGAAATGAACGGAAGAGAGCTTAGTTCAATCCAAGATTTGACTTACAATTCAATCTAAGAGTGCGATGTTGATGTCAGAAGAGATCTCTATCAAAACATCATTCTATCTGGAGGTACCACTATGTACGAAGGTATTGGAGAAAGACTCCTCAAGGAAATCGAAAACAGAGCACCAAAGTCAATTACAGTCAAAGTTATTGCCAGCCCAGACAGAAGATTCGCCGTCTGGAGAGGAGGTTCCACCCTTACTTCACTTTCAACATTCGCTTCAATGTGGATTACCAAGGAAGACTACGACGAACACGGAGCCCAAATTGTTCATAGAAAATGCGTCTGAGCAAAAACAAAATCCAAACCTATCTTTTTTAGGAATTTATTTTATTCCTTCATTAGGATTATCAAAAATCTTTCTAACTAATCATTTTCATTGAGGGGTTTTGGGGTTTTGGGGTTTTGGGGTTTTACATTTCTATT